GGGGCACTGTTTGATGGCTCTTCAGGTCCAGTGAAGATGGATTACATGCCTGACTTTGAAACAGGACAGAGGTTCTCCAGCTTACAGTTCTGTGATGGTTGTTGTTTCCTGTTCCTTAGTCCGGAGCATAAGCTTGGCATCTACCAAGAGGGGAGGGGTTACAGGGAGTGGGGGGCAAATGGCAATGGCAATGCCATTTGACACATTATGCACATGCAGTATCCGGTATCCCTTGGTCGCAGACCATCTCTGTACTTGAGTTGATGGAGCTGTACCAGGGCTCCAGGTGGACATCTGCAAGGACTCAGACTGGGCAGAATGGGAGGAAGCGGCTGTTGATGCAGGTGTCAGCCACTATCTAACCTGGTCAGACTGGGCTTGAGCCTCAAGATGGACACAGAAAACACAGACAGACACACACACACACACACACACATACAGATAGACACGGACACGCACACACACACACACACACACACACACACACAGAAATACACACAGACACACACAGACGTTTCTATTAATCTATTCAGTCTATTCATCTTTGTGGGGACTCTCCATTCATTTCTATGGGCAAAACCCAAACCTCAAAAAGTAACAAGCTTTACCTCCACTCAGCCCTAACATTAACCATAAGTATCCAAACAAAACACAAGACTTTTGGAATTTTTACTTTTTTGATTGCAGTCACAGATTTTAATAAAACTGAATTTCCCCTTGTGAGAATTGAAAGAAATGGTCCCCACAACATCCACATAAAATAACAGATTTTTATTAAATTGGGACACCTGGTCCACCCAACATAACACATACATGCCCCCCCCCCCACATCCACACAGGTACCACGAGTCATGAGATGCTTTTTAGTCGATTCGACTTTCATCAGAGTGATTCCACTCAAGACTGCGTCAAGTTCTTCTGTGTGTTTGTCCCATGTGTTGAAATTACAACCAGCTTAATAACTGAATGAATGTCAAAGACACAAACACATACAGCGATGGAATCGGCAGGAATCCCCTACACAAGAAGCGCTCGTTTGTATAGCACTATCAGCTGCATGCATATCTATCCACTCCTTTTATTCCTGCCACTCCCTCACTCTCTGCCTCTCTGTCTCTCTCCATCTCTCTCCCCCCTCCCTCTCTCCCACTCTTCCTCCCTCTGTCTGATTGATGGTTCAGATGAACATTAAAACCCCTCTCCCTGCCTGTACTGAAGCTAATGCTTCTGAGGGCTCTGTTACTTCATCTAGCAGCGATAGCTTTCCTGGGGGGGCAACACAGGAATCGATAATGAGCGTGCCCCCACCCCTGTTACCCCATCCACCCCCCCCCCCCCCCCCCCCCCCCCCCACACACACACACACATCTTTCTGGGACACTGCTTAGCAGCAATTTAAGATGCATTTGCATATTGAAAAATAATTAAAACAAACATAGCAGCGACACCAAACCGACTTGCTGGGAGAGGGAGGCAGAGGGGCCGTGATGAACCGTCTTGGAGAGTGAAAAATGTCTACGGCGCGAGGTTTAATCGCGATGTCGGGCCTCCGTCATGAATCTTGGAATTATACCTCTTTCATTTGTCACTGCTGGTGGGTGACATTTTTTTTTGTGTCCCATGGTTTTTTCTTAACAACTTGTTTTTGTTAAAGAGCAGCTTTATAAGTGCTGAGACAGTGAATAATAGGCAAGCGGGAGGCCGCAGAGGAGGCCCAGGGGGTGGCAAGGTGGAGCAGGGAAGGCTGGGACTTAGGGGCCCTCGGAAGCAGGGAGAGCCATCGCAGTCGTTCCTTTTCGGGCAGGCGGCTGGGAGGACGCCCCATCGCAGTCGTTCCTTTTCGGGCAGGCGGCTGGGAGGACGCCCCATGGCAGTCGTTCCTTTTCGGGCAGGCGGCTGGGAGGACGCCCCATGGCAGTCGTTTCTTTTCGGGCAGGCGGCTGGGAGGACGCCCCATCTCAGTCGTTCCTTTTCGGGCAGGCGGCTGGGAGGATGCCCCATGGCAGTCGTTTCTTTTCGGGCAGGCGGCTGGAAGGACGCCCCATCGCAGTCGTTCCTTTTCGGGCAGGCAGCTGTAAGGACGCCCCACTGAGGACAGGTCCCATGGAGTGACAAAGTGCTGGATGGAGAAATGGGAAAAGTGACCTGCTATCCGTCTGGGCGGCGTTTGAAGGGCTGAGATGAAAGCGCAGCTCCTCCTGCCGCTTCTGACACTCTGAGGGGGCACGGTGAGGACCACACTGGCAAACCCACTGGGTGAAAGGGAACGGGGGGGCAGAGGGGTCCTGTGGTCGTGCCCTTAACAATGGCATTTTAACAAGGCGGTGATTATGGAGATGTACTGTTTGTATACCCTGCTTAATAGGTCCGTAATAATAATAATAATAATAATTATAGAGCCATATTATTTTGTGATGGGGTTTCTTAGAAGGATGTTTTAGTCTCATAATAAGACCTTCTGAGGTTGGATTGGAGGACGTCTCACACGGGTCTCTGAAGCGGACAGGGCTGCTTTGCTTGAGAATCTCCCAGCGAATTGTCTTCATTTCCTCTGTGACAAAAAGGCGAGACTCCCCACACACCGCAGAGCAGAGATCGCAAACCAGGGATGGCCGGGGGGGGGGGCAGGGGGGTTGCTGTCCTGACCTCCGTCTGTGACGATGCGGGTGAGCGGTCCTGCAGTTAGCGGGTGGTCGTTAATAGATCTGAGTCGTTTTCATATCCCCCCACCACGGGATTCTGCTATCTCCTTTTCCTCCCAATGGTTCTGATTCTGGTCCTGGCTTGACCTGTGTTCCTGTGGGTTTTGTATATGTCCTATTTAGGGGGGAGAGGTTACTGCTGGGGCCCTTCCTGCAGCATAAGATGCTGGGGCCCACTACCACTCAGAGCCCGAGGATAGAGCCCGGCTTAGCCCCAGTGTAAGTCCGGATAAAGCAGGTCAATGGGATGGGGGGGTGTGGGGGGTGGTTGGAGGGTGTTTGGTGGCTATATGTCATTTCATATGAGCCAAGGTGTTAATTAGACACGATCAAGGACAACAGGAGTGATGTGGGGCTGGTGAGCGTGTCTCCCCGTTTCTACCCCTCTACTACTGGATCCACGTTAAAATATAGCGTCATAGCAGGGGGAGGGGGGATATTTATATTGCTTATCTATCATTTATCACACACTTATCATAGTGACTTTCAAGTCATGCAAAGAGCACTGTGGATGGCGAGATGGCTTTTAAAAGGACACAGAGGCCAGACAGAACCTCTCTGGCAAAATGTACGTGCTGATGAATGTTTTTATATATAGATACATGCATATACACTCAAAAGGGGAACTCTATGAGGTGCAGCTATGAGCTTAACTACGGCAAAGAACTCAGCGTTTGGTTCAGACAACAGGGGAATCAGTGACTGGGAGGGTGGAGGGGGGGTAAGAGGTCTCTGGGTTCACCGCATCGGCAGTCTCATTTCCAGAACTGTCCATTGAAAGCCCCCCCCCACCCCCAGATGACCTTTCTGACCCCATAAGAGTGAGCAGTCAACGGCCAGTTAAACGCCTCATTCACACAGTGATCATCACCTGAAACACACACATCCAGATCACTGACAGTCAAACACACTTCCTGGGCGGCTGACGAGGGCATTCTTCACTGTTCCGGGTCGTTTACCGCGTCGTTTATTATTTGGCCGGTCAGGAAGAGTGGGGCAGGAGTATATAGCTTTGTGAAGAGACATCTCTCTGTGCCTGATGGTCCTTTTCAATGTGTAAGAGTGCGTATCTTCATAAAGTGCTATTTGTTAGTGTGTTACGCTATGTTTCAGTGTGTAGAAGTCTGTATCTTTATGAAGTGATATTTATTGGTACAGTTGAGTGGTACAGTTTTAACATGTTACAATATGTCTTTGTGAAGTGGTATTTATCAGTGCGCGAGAGTATTCGCAGTGTGTAAGATAATCTGTTGGTGAAGTGAGATTTGTCAGTTACCATATTATTCAGTATGTAAAAGTGCAGGATTTGCATCAAGTGCAGTATTATAATGTGCCTTGGTTGAAATGGTATTTGTCAGTGTGTTATGGTATTTTGCAAGGTGTAGAAGTATGTCTTCATGAAGTCATATCAGTTTGTTACAGTATGATTCTGCATGTAAAATTGCATGCTTTCCTGCAATGTTATTTATCAGTATGTTGTGGTATTTTGCAGTGTGCTGGAATGTGTCTTTGTGAAGTGGTATTGATCAGTGTGCTACAGTACTTTGCAGTGCGTAAGGCGATGGTTTTTCTTGAGGTGAGATTTATCAGTGTGTTATGGTACGCTGCAGTTTGAAAGGCCATGTGCCGTCCTGAAGCTGTAGCCATTGGTGCGTAACAGTACGTCTCAGTGTGAAGCTATGCCTTCCTTCAGCATGGTGTATTAAGAAGCAGCTCCTAGCCCTGGACAGGGTTCTACCGCTCAGTCATGGTGACAGTTGCCTGTCATTTTGAGTGGTAAGACAAGCGGACGTGTGGAGTGCGACTCGCGAACAAGCTCACGTCCTGGGTTAAAACGAGGTAGGCGGAGTGGTGTGGAGCACTACCTGGTACGCGTCTGTAAAACAAGCCGGCAGTAAACAAAGCGTGAATAATTCATGGCCGCTGAAGAGCATTCTGGCCTTGTAAGTCACCATGTATGAGTTAGTCGGCTAAGAAAATATATGAATAAATATTGCAGGCTCTCAGGCATTGGGAGCGGAAAGACTTTCGCGGAGACTAACCGATGTTCATACAGACGAGGCCCTGTATGGCGTGGAGTGTCTCCTCGGCGAGAAGATCAAGGCCACGTTAGGGTGAAGAGGAGCATTTTGGAGACTGACACGTGTCTTCCTGCCTGGCTGTTTGCTAGTTTGACAAGTGAGAATTTCTCCCTCTCTCCATCTCCCTCTCTCTCCAGCTATCACTCTTCCCTCCCCCCCCCGCCCAGCTTTTCTCTCTCTCACTGTTGCATCCGGAGGAGTGTGAAGCTCGGTTTTATGTACAAACTCTACAGATAAAAGAGGATTCATGGGCCGTGTCTGGTGACACAAGGAGGGGCTCCTGTGTTTGTCTGTGGCCTCACCGGGAAATCGCTGGTGCTGAATGGCCCGTTTGTGGGAAGGAGCTCGGGGTCTGGACCCTGCTGACCCAGCTGGCGCCTGGAACTGGCCTGGAGGGGGTGGGGAGTGTAAACGGGTCTGGGGCACCCTGAATGCCAAAAGGCACGTGGCACAACATCAAATTCCCGATTTTGGTGTTCGGAGGCTTGCGAAGCCCATGGCCATTAGTGCTGATGCGTCACCTTAGTTTCACCGGTTTTCACAGAGGAACAGAAGAGGTTTGGAGAGCGCGGGTGGCACAGCTGGCCTCTCCGGAGTTCCCGGTGCTAAAAAAGACGTTAACGGAAGAGGGCCGCTGGCAAGCCCCACATTCCTGGGCTGCCCCTCTCCCTGCCGGCGTCTGACACCCCTGACTGACAGCTCTGCTTCCGTCTCCGTGTCTATCGCCCCGCGGCGGGGTGACTAACAGGCAGAAATATCCCATAAACCGTTACCGTGCGTGGCGGTGCCGCCGACGGGCCCCACATACCGCCTCGGTACTTGTTTGGGGAGCCATTCGCCCGGATGACCTCCCGTGCTGTGACAGCCCTGAGACACAGAACGGTCAGATCCGTCAGGAGCTAAAGTCTGGAACCAAGTAGCTGCTCAATTGAATTACGGCCACAGAGACATCAGCCTTCATTTTTAGCATCTGAATGGTAATCTGGCTACACATGTATGCAAAAACGCATTATGCATACATGCTATTCTACAGGACGAATGGTACCGTGAAATTAAGTTTACTGCTACCTTTGTGAAAGCAAGATATCACCTTTAATGGTCTAATTAGTGTGAGCCTCTGTCACTTTCAGTTTAGCCAGTTTGCATTCCAAGGTATATCATTGGCCAAGCCGGAGAGTGATGCGAAAGCTGCCGGCGAATTGAATCACTGTTTACGACAAATTGAACATGACAATAACAATACAGAGGCAGAGCGGTCATGGTATGGATGATGATATGAGGATTAATAATGATTAATAGTTACAGCGGTTGCAAAACGAGACTGGGTCTTGCCTCTTTCACACACTCTCTCTCTCTCGCTCTCTCCGTCTGTGTCTCATTGTCTGTTTCTGTAAGACTGAGATGTGAATCATCATCTAACTTCCAGGAGCATAATTGAGTCCTTTCTTTCCTGGTGCTATTTAGACCTGATAGCACAATTTACAGCCAAATGGTAAAACACTTTAAGAATAGAATCAAAATGAAAGAAAATGAGTTTTATCCTCCGTAAACCCTTTTAGCTAGTCTCAGTGGACTGAGCAGCGGAAGGTAGGAGCACAGGACAGACTCGCAGAGAGAGCTCCTTCCCATTGTGCACCAGGATTGTTAGGCAGTCACACAGAGTGTCTCTCACTGCTGCTGTCGCTTTCCCAACCCTGGCTTACAGGACTACATCTCAGTGAATTTAGCGGTGTGCAACCAGGTGAGCTCGCAGGAACACATCTAGCTGACTTTTCTATTGCCAGTTGAGCTTAGAGGAACACATCTAGGTGATTTCGCAGGTCTATGACCAGATGAGCTCACAGGAACACATCTAGGTGAATTTGCATGTCTATGACCAGATGAGCTCACAGGAACACATCTAGGTGATTTTGTAGGTATATGGCCAGGTGAGCTCACAGGACCACATCTAGGTGATTCCGCACATCTATGGCCAGGTAAGCTCACAGACGCACATCTAGGTAATTTTGCAGGTCTACGACGAGATGAGCTCACTGGGGCAAATGTAGGTAATGTCGTTGATCGATGGCCAGGTGAGCTCACAGGAACATATATAGGTGATTTTGCAGGTTTCTGGCTAGGTGAACTCATAGGAGCACATCTAAGTGATCTTGCTTCTCCATCGCCAGGTGACCTCACAAGGGCATAGCTAGGTCATTTTGCAGGTTTATGACCAGGTGAGTTCACAGGAGCACATTCCTGTTACCTTGCTAATACATTTCCTGGAGCACCTCTCAGTTATAGAGCCAGAGAGACCAGCTACAGTAAACCCGCTATTCAGAAAGGCCAAGACAGCCCATTCTTCAGTTTTGATCACTGCTGCCTGACCGATCTCCTGAGCTCCAGAAAGGTTTCTCAAGCACGTTTCACCACCACAAGCATCTCCTGCTCTGATTGTTCAAAAAAACCTCGAAAACCTGCATTCTTTCTTGGAAGATTGTTTTCTTGAGTTAATTTTATTATTTGGTTTGGTTTTTATATTAAAATGGTGTGAAATTAAAAATATCGCCTTTGTAAGGAAATATCTGTGGTGATAGATCCTGCAAAAGCAGCTATATCCTCCTTTAGGGGAGTCTGTGAAAAAAATGTGTCGCACATTCTTATGTGGCTTAAGCAGTTTATTTGGAGCAAGACACACTCACTGCAATTAAACTGCAAACACTATTTGGCTTCTTGCAGAAATCCGCAAGTTTTATACGGGTAATGTCATTTTCTTCAGGACAACCTTGAGTGGCATTGAAATCCCAATTAAACTGTAATGGTTTTACAAAATTAAAAAAAAAAAGTAAAACACAGTTGAAATCTTATGTTAAACACCCCAAGGCGATTATTTAATAATTAGATAATGTAATCACTTCCTGTCACTGTTTATTGTTCATTTCATTAAATCAATGTTTACTTTGGAACAATTAGTTTGTAGTTGTTGTTGTCTTTGGTTGACCTTTTTCACATCCTCTAACCTCCATGCATGAGGAAACTGGCCAAAAGGGGACATTCGGAGGGATGAGCCCTTGTCACAAGGGACATGCTGGTCCCCTGGTCTGGGACGGCTTCCTAATTACCTTGGAAATGACCTGGCGAAGGCAGTGGGGTCCCAGGACACATTTCCCACCAGACATCTTACTTTCTTTAAGTGCTCTGCCACAACATTGAATACTGCTCTGTATCACAAACCTCACATTTGATTTTATTATTTATTTATCTTTTTTTGCTTCTTTGGGCCTTTTAATCATGGCTGAGCTCCATTACAGAAGCAGATCCCAAACACGCCAAGCTTTTGAAAATATTTTTCATTTCCTGTCTTCTACGTGGGCTGGTCATCATCTGTTCCCTCTCCCTGTCTGTAAAAAAAAAAATTTAAAAAAATACTGGCCTGCTAAATAAAAAAAGACCTAAATTCAGAACCCAATCAAAGGGAGGCCTCCTACGAAGAAGAACAAAATAATGAATGCATTTTTTAAAGAAGTATATTTGCATATCTTTATACAGCACCAAGGAAAACAGCCTGCAGTCAATGGTCCTGCAGATGTGGTCATTTCCCCTCAAGCAAGAAGCAGGAAGTGGCCGAGTCCATGCTGGGTTTGTCTGACTCAGGTGGATGTGATTCCAGGGATGGGAGAAGAATCAGGGCACATCTTCGCTCCTGATGGGGGGGGGGGGGGGGGTACAAATATACACACATTAGAATCAGTTGCCTGTAAATGTGAGTGTACGTGTGCATGTGATGCTCTGTCGGGAATCTGTCCACAAAGACAGTAATATTGTTTAGGTGACTTGAGAGTCTGCCTGAATAAAAATTAAAATTAACAGGAAAAAAAGCAGCTGAACCCACCAGCCATTTGCTCTTGCTATACGCCTCTGACACGGGCTGCTTTTGTTCACTTGCTCTTGCAGTTTTTAAATTAGTTTTTCATTTCTGCTTTCAAGAAACTTTGAAGAAACAGTTTAGGAATTTCATTTCACATCTCAGTATGCTTGAACACTAGTAGTATAGTGTACATCTTCTGAAATACAGTGTACGCCATAAGCAGTGCATTGTACTTCTTCAGCAGTGCAGTGTACATCTTAAGCAGTGCATTGGACTTCAGCAATGCAGTGTACATAAGAAGCACAGTAGGCTTCTGCAATGCAGTGTGCTTCTTAAGCACTGGTGTGCAGTTCCTCAGCAGTGCAGTGCACTTCTTCAACAGTGTTGTTTACATCTTTAGAAATGTAGTGTATTATTGTATTGGCAACTGCCAAGAAATTTTCCCCGCATATGTCAAAGCCTGCCAAAGAACACCGAAATGGACACTTAAAATCAGACAGAAAAAAAACAAACGAATCCATCCTCTGCAGCTTCTGTTCTCGCAGCACATGGGTGTCTGTTTCTGACTCATTGACCAGTGCTGAGGGTCACATGCTGGGTGGCTGAACCTCGGGCCCCCAGAACTTACTTTTCTACTGTTTTTCTTGCTTCTTCTCCTCTGTTGACATTTGGGCTTCTTCCAACCCTCAGACTTTCACCAATAACCACTGTTTGGCTTGTAATGATATTCTTTACAAATCTTATTTAACAGGGAAAGGCACTACGTTCTCCTAACTTTTTAAAACAAGTATATTTTTTAATGTAATGTTATTTTTCTTCCTACAACAATCTCCTTTATTACCATCCTGTTTCATAATATGTGGCAACACAGTGGATCTGCCGCTCTGCACAGTGCACCAAGGTTCTGACCTGAGACACTTCTCGGTCTGTGACACGCCCCTGTGAGTCACGCCTGCCTGACCCTCTCATCTCCTGCTTGGCCTGAGGGAGGCGCTGTTGTTGGTCATTTTAGCAGTTTTTCCCATGTCTCCGAATGGATGCTCCGATAGTGCGGCACCACTGACCCAGATCTCAGATGTGCGCCGATCCACAGGATGTAGGACGTGTATGTAAGCTCACAAACACATTACACCGGGAGTATTAGGAATCAATATGCAGGGTCTTCTCAGTACAGTCCTTAAGGGCAGCAGACCTTCACATGTGCTTGTGCATATGTGTGAGCACTCATAACATATATGGAGATAGGAGCTGGCTGAATTTGTTTTTGGTCTACCCCACACCATGGTAATCCCGGTAAGTGCCCTGGTAACCATGACAGCATCCCTGTCAGCCAAGTATCTGTCACCTGCTGCTATGATTTCACTTAGCTGGATTCAGCTGGATGAGCACAGTTTTACCTGCCTGTGCACCTGCAGTTTCCCCTGGCTGTGCACCTGTGAGTTCACCTGGCTGTGCACCTGCAGTTTCCCCAGGCTCTGCACCTGTGAGCTCATCTGGCTCTGCCCCTGCAATTTCCCCTGGCTGTGCACCTGTGAGCTCATCTGGCTCTGCCCCTGCAGTTTCCCCTGGCTGTGCACCTGTGAGCTCACCTGGCTGTGCACCTGCAGTTTCCCCAGGCTCTGCACCTGTGAGCTCACCTGGCTGTGCACCTGCGGTTTCCCCTGGCTGTGCACCTGTGAGCTCATCTGGCTCTGCCCCTACAATTTCTCCTAGCTGTGCATCTGTGAGCTCACCTGAATTAGAAATAGAATAATAAATAGTTGTACTTATTTCAGCACCGCAGTGATGATCGTAGGGGCAAGATCGGTTTTGCATTGACAGTCTCTCTTTTGACCCTGAGACATTGCAGCGCTCCGAACACTTTTTATTTAAGAAGATAATCTCGTATGTGAGTCGTGCACAGAGAGAGGAGGGTAGCATGGTACCCTGACGACCCACACTGTTGTCATGGCAATGACATGGCGGGGGCATAATGTATAGAAGCACGTGTACGCAACACTTAGACCTTGCCAGAACAAATGGCATCCGTCTCCTGGCGGTCTCCTAGGGGCGGTGTGGCGAGCGCCCACGCACACACCGAACATGCGGAACCAGAGGTTCCCGCCGGTGTGGAGCGCAGGACCCACCCACGCGCCACGTCATCGACACGTCTAAAACAAACACCACCAGCACAGCGGTCATCCTCCCTCACCTCTCTTTCCTCCTCTCATTTTGTTCTGCCGTAATTACTATTTGGGCTGTGATAACGGACTATGGATTCTCACACCCTATTAACCACAACTAATAACATAATAAAAGCCAAACAAACATGAACACCGCTCTCCCGTGCCCTTTTCCTAATACGTGACTCTTACGGTATTCCTGTTCTTTCGGCTTTCAGACGCATGCGTCCCGGTGGGCAGGGAACAGGTTCCCCGTAGCGGTACACGGAACCCACCCCTGCTTCGCGTTCAGTCCCCGCACTCCCCTGGCACCTCAGAGGACGGGACGCCCTTGCACGTGGGCCGACGCCCTGGCCCGTTAATGCCCACTCGTGAGGGGAAAAGGCGTCGGGTTGTGAGACAGACGACTGTATTCTCGCAAGACAACGAGGCAATTATTTATCCCTGATTGGAGTGAGGACAGGAGCAAGGGGTTTATGTCACAATACGGTCCTGTAAAGAGCTGAACATTCCCTCCCAGTTTCCTTCATGAATATCAAACGACGGGGCCCTGTTGTTGCTCACCAACGCAGAGGAAAAATTACAGCTGTATTTCTTTATTTGCATTACCTGTAATAGGCGGTGTATTGTGTGTGGTATTTATTACGGCAGTGCAGGCGGGCGGTGGTAAACACACGCTGATTTACTGCTGTGCCACATCAGGCCCCCTAAATCACACACCATCATTCTCTGTGAGTAAAGAAAGAACATGGTTTGTTTCCCATTTTCATTACTCAACGAGGTCTCTGATCTCAAATATCCATCAGACTGGAATCGGGAGGTTCAGACCCTGGGCCGGACCACCCCTCCAACCCACTGCCAGGCGAGGATGAACCAGCTGAGCTTGACCCTCCGTCTCAGCGTTGGACCACCAACTCTCCAAGCTTCTGCTCAGGTTCATGTGCTATAGAAATCCTGGGGCAGAACATCTCAGTTCTGGAGATACTACAGAGCCAGGCCGTCCAGTTTGTGTCCGATCCCGTCGCGAGCTGCAGAACACCTGTGTGCACCTTTACAGTTTGTCCTGGGCAATACGGGCATGCGACTGACACATAGCCAGGACGGTTTGTTTCGGATCGGTTGTACGTCAGCCTCCTCGCTGCGATGCTGCTGCTCGGGGTTCAGGCCACCATTGTGTGTTTGCCGTCAAAAAAGCTGCCTGGAGGAGATGGGCACCACCCCAGACATGACACGTAGTCCCCGCAACTTCAAGCGGCCGGGTGTATATATAGCAGGGGAATGCTAAAATCTAGCGGAAAATGGAAGGGTGAACTTAAAATATTCAGTTTACCCATGATCCAATTTTATTGGGCTTTGGCATGATTTGTGCTGGGATTCCCAGAGGAAATAAATACTTTGATTAATGTAATCCTGGGGTAGGAGGTGCAACGCACCCACCCCCCCTCCCCGGGGGAACGGGTCCTGTTTGACAAACAAAAACACAGCAGCGACTGTGGCAGGCTACACACCTCGTACACACGCACGCACAAATATACACGTGCACACACAAACAGACACACAAACACACCCATGTTTGGTCACCAGCTGCCTATAGATTCTCTGCTCTTAAGGGGCCGGAACCTGTATGGTGTTAATGGCATAGTCTTTGGAGATCTTACATCAAGATTCTACATTTGTGCATAAATTTGACCATTTGGAAGTACACTACAAAAAAAAAAGCATGTGTGTACACAAACACACACACACACACATGTGTGTGTGTCTATATATATATTTCATAAATATAATTTTTTCTTTAATTTCACTGGCGTATCGCGACTGCCTAAAGTTGGGAAAAAAATGCATCGATTCTGCAAGGGTAGCTGCGGAGCAGTGCATATTGTCCTGTTATTGCTAGGGAATAATCTATGTGAGGAGATCAGTACGGCTCTCAGATCCAATGAGAGGGTCTTTATGCTGCTTCACGGTGGAGGATGAGGGTGAGAGGACGGCCAGCACGAGGCAGCCACGTCTGGGGGCTAGAGAAAAGGACCTCTTCATGGTGCCTCTGACCCTGCCACTCAGGCGAACATCATGCCTTTTGTCTGCCCTGACGGCTTCAGAGCAGTCCGTTCCGCGCCACGCCCATCTCCTCCTGCGCGAGCTGGCGAGCCCCCGCCTTGCCAGAAGGGTCCCGGGACTGCATGTGGGGCTTGTCGGTTGTGCTCTTTCCTGCGACTGTTTTCCGAAAGGCACTTGCACAGACGCCTTGCCCTTCACAGTGGGTCCGGTTAACTCCTGACCGTGCGCAGTACGAGCTACAGCAGCGCATCTCACACTTTGAGCGCTAATGTGGACAAACACAATGGCTGTGTAGTTCACGGCATGGATTCACAAGGAAAACAGATGTGTCTTGTAAAACAATCACCGCTTAAAACCTAGTCTGTGTAAATGCACACTGCATTACCTAAACATAACATTACGTCACATGTTTCATTCTCTCCACATATACTCTCCAGTCACCGTTTATGAAAAATTATGATATTTACATTGATTTCCTACTATACAAAAAGAACCCAATCAATAGAGGACAGTTGCAACGGTTATAAATAATTTAGGATTTACCATTATATTGGCACGGAAATATCATATCAGCGATTTCCAAGGTAAATTACTGTCTGCACGTGCAGCTTTGAACTTTGCTCTTCATCGTAGACTGCCGCAGAGATTACAAAAAATAATAATAATAAATAATAATAAATTGGCATATAGTCTTATACAAACGAGCGTGGCACTGCACTGAACTATGGTATTTTGTATTGTCAAAATGAGCAATCCTGGTTATGTGTGATGTATTCTACATACGTGCTTTTAATGAATAGGGTACATTACCATTAAACTGTTGGATGTTATAAGCTGTTCTAAATCAATTTCATTAGGCCTACCGTGAACGCAGAACACATGCTATTAACGTGTTGCCTGATTAGCATATATGTGGACCAAGTGAGCGGTATAAATAATACGTTCTTTAAGTGTAATTAAAACTTGTGTGCTGGTAATTAAATTAAAAAATTTAATATCAGCTATTCCACTTGATTAATTTTATTTTACCCTGGTAGACTTTAATTTCGGCTGCAGGTTTCAATGATAATAAATTAATTAAACTGATTGTAAATCAGCTGAAACATTTTTAAAATGAACATAACAAGCCATTAGCTGCTATGGTATGTTTCTCTGCATCTAAGACGTCAGGAGAGGAGAGAAATTAAACATTAAGGAATAAAGAAGTAGTGGTTTCCAGTAGTAGCGTGGTCCGTTAATTCTATTCTTTAGCGTCCGGGAAACCCCACTTAAAAATTAATTTTATGCTACTGCCAGTTCACAAGCCTCTATGCTTTGGATTTTAAGTCGCATAATACGGTAGAGAGAGCACGTTGGTTATATCTATGGAAGGCTGTACTTTTAAATGGAGATATTTAATCGATTAACCTGCATGTAAAATATAAGTCGTGTGTGTGTGTGTGTATATATATATATATATATATATATATCATCTGCATCTGTTGTCTAGTTGGG